AGAACAATTTGTATTAAGTCTACAATAGTTGGTATTGAAAATGAGATATATCGGTCAACGTTTTGGTATAGTACCGTTACCTTCCGATATTCGGTATTTTGATGATTTTTGCCACATTTTTTTTAGGATTTGGCAAAAAATTGGTAATTGTTGGTCATAATGGGTTCTAGTTCATGTGGCGAAATATTGTAGGTATGGATCCACACTTTGGTAAAGCCCCCATATAACATTTCCTCCCGATTTTTGGTATTTTGATGATTTTTGCCACATTTTTTCACGGATTTGGCTAAAAATTGGTAATTGTTGGTCATAATGGGTTCTAGTTTCGTTGGCGAATCATTGCATATATAGGTCTACGATTTGGTATAGCCCTCATATAATGGTACCTCCCGATATTCGGTATTTTGATGGTTTTTGTCACATTTTTTCACGGATTTGGCTAAAAATTGGCATTTGTGGGTCATAATGGGTTCTAAGGTTTCCTTAACCCTAAGGTGGAGGTTATTAAAAGTTCGGCCCGGCTGAACTTAATGTTTTTTTACTTGTTGGTTTACATCTTACTAGCAAGTGCCTGCTAATTCGTCAGCGAAAATTCCACCGTAAAATTTTAGATTCGGCACAACAGTTTGTGTAAGGCCTTTTTGTTCGTCATTCCGTTTGTAACTTAGCGAATTAATAATTTTAGACCCTACAAAGTATACATATTCTGCGTAAATTTCTGTCGTGTAAAGTTCGAAGATGGGCTATATCGGTACGATATTCGGTATTTTGATGATTTTAGGGACATTATTCATCGGAATTGCTTCATATTTCGTATTTGAAGTTCCAAATATGTACTGCAGCATAAGACATGCTATTGTCTTCGTATACCCTCTATATAACGGTAATTCTCCGTATTCCGTATTTTGATGATTTTAGCGACATTAATCACCAGAATTGTTTCAAATTTCGTATTTAGAGTTCGCATAATATAATGGGTATTACAGCCTGTGACATAAAATTGTCCATGCAGGTCCGGGTCGTCGTATGGTCCCTCTTTATCGGTATCTCCGGTATTTTTATAATTTTAGCTACATTACAAGGTGAGAAAAAAAAACTGCAACAAAGTCAAACGCCATAATTTTTACATTTTTTTTGAATGAAAGCATAAAATTTCGGAAATAGCATCAAATTTTAGAATTAGTTTAGATTTGCTCGAATTGGTCATTTTTGGCACGAATTATGGCCTTCAAACGGCCAATGAAACCATCTCACACTGTCCGAATGTTGCTCTGCGGTATTTTGGCCCATTCCCTGTGAAGCGCATGCTTGAGGTGATCGACACTTTTGTATTTTTAGTGCCAACCTTGCTTTCCAAAATTCTCCAGACACAATAGTCCAACGGATTGGCATCCAGAGGTTTTTGGTGGCCATTGTGCGCTGGAAATGAAGCGAGGAACCTCATTTTGTAACCATTCTTGGGTGGCGCGAGCTGAGTGCGATGGTGCCGAGTCCTGTTGGAATGTCCAAGGTCTGCGGCCAAGATTTTCACGTGCCCAAGGCTTTAATACACCCTCCAGAATATTTTCGTGATAATATTCGGCATTTATTCTGATGCCACGGTCGATTAATACGAGCGGAGGGCGACCAACGGCTGTTATGGCGGCCCACACCATCACCATGGCCGGCACTTGAGTTTCAACCGAATGTAGCCAACCGAAGGTGCACATTTTTAGCTGACCTCTTTGACAAGTAAACACGATCATTTTGTTTGTTTATAAACTGCTGGGCAACGAATGTTTTCTCATCGGAGAAAACCAAATTCGGCAGTTCACCACTTTCGGCCAAGCGGAGCAACACTTTAGGCCTTTTGAGTCTATTTTCTTTCTGTTGCGGTGTAAGTTCTTGCACTTTTTGGAATTTCAATGGCTCATTTTTCAATATTTACCGAGTGGAAAATTATGATATGTTCAGCTCACGAGACATTTTTCGGTCACTTCGACGCGGGTTTCGATCAAGTCGCTTCTTGACTTTTCGAACCATTTCTGCTGATGTTGCTGTTTTCTTTCGTCCACTTCCTTGACGTCGGACTACGCTACCACTTATGGTTTTCCAGTCAAATATAAATATATCAAACTATCACGCTTGAATTCCATCACGAATAACTTTTTTTCATGAAAATTCTTACCAAAGTTCTTTTGTACGCTTGTAAACAATATAATGAGCTGTCACTGGAATAATTTTAACAGCTGTAGGACGAGTGGCTTAGAAATGATAGCAGTCTGAAGTTGGTTGCAGTTTTTTCATCTAACCCTGCATATCTTACATTGGAACCCGTTGCAATCTAAATGCAAAATAAAAGAAGTGCAACAAGAATTTGGAAGAGCAGCATGTCGTGTAAGATGCTGTAGTTGATGATGCTGTTGAAAAGACTGCGCCGAGGTTCGACGACTTATACCTTGAGAGACTGACCCTATGGAGATTAGGCTATTACAGCATCCCTTTCGCTATTACTCTAAAATCGAAAAATTCCTCAAATAACCATATGCCCATAGTCTTCTTTGTATCACTACACAATCTGTGTGAAAGTTACAATAAATATAATTTTATAGCTTTACAGTTATAAGCTAAGTGTGTGTGTCTGTGAGTATTTGAGAATATCAGCCACATAAAAAATGTGGAACAAACGAACATTTGTTTTTCCCATCCATCCTTCCAATCATTGAAATTGACGTATTCCTGGCAATCTGCACGTGTACATATATGTTATTGATGTCCGTGTGCGTGTGTGTGTGAATTTTCATGTTAATCGACTTCACACAGAAGCCAGAACAGATATTATTTTGTAAATCCACATAAAAATACATCAGAGGATTCGAATACAATCATGTGTGGATATTGGATATTTGTGGTTTATATTTGTGTGTGTGTGTGTGAGAAAGAGAGAGCACGTGTGAGTGTGGGGAATGGGTTTGGCAATGGTATCAACATAAAATTATCGGCTTTACATTATTGTCTTTTCAGATATGTGAGAGCACACACAACGTACATACATATAGATGAATGAGTGAATTTTGTACAAACATGAAACGATACAAGCAAAGGTAAGTAATGTACACAGATCCGGTTGAAAGAAGGCCCTTTGGCATTGAGAATAATAATTTAAAATTTGTGAAAGTTGGAATTAGGAACATAAAGAAGATATTGCTGCAGTTTTTCCTATTTTGAATGTGTATACAGGGTGAGATGAAAAAACTGCAACCAACTTCATGCTGCTGTCATTTCTAAGCCACTCGTCCGACAGCTGTTTAAATTATTCCAGAGACAGCTCATAATATTTTTTACAAGCACACAAAAGCATTTTGGTGAGAGTTTTCCAGAAGAAAAGTTATTCGTGATGGAATTCAAGCGTGATACTGTGATTTCTTTATATTTGGCTGGCAAACCGTTAGAGCAGTCCAGCATTTAAATGTGAATAAATCGCTTGTGTCTCGTGCCATCACTCGTTACCGTGGTACCGGTAGAGTAGCCCGACGTCAAGGAAGTGGACGGAAAAACAGCAACATCAGCAGAAATGGTTCGAATGAAAGTAGAGAAGCGACTTGATAAAAACCCGCGCCGCAGTGGCCGAAATATGGCCCTTGAGCTGAACATATCGCAATGTTCCATTCGGCAAATATTGGGAAATGAGATCGGGGTAAAGCCATTGAAATTCCAAAAAGAGCAAGAACTTACACCGCAACAGAAAGAAAATAGACTCAAAATAGCTAAAGAGTTGCTTCGCTTGGTCGAAAGTGGTGAACTGCCGAATTTGGGTTTCTCTGATGAGAAAACATCCCTTGTTCAGCAGTTTGTAAGCAAACAAAATGATCGTGTTTACTTGCTAAAGAGGTCAGCTGAAAATGTGCACCTTCGGTTGGGCTTCTTCGGTTGCAACTCAAGCGTCTGCCATGGTGATGGTGTGGGCCGCCATAACAGCCGATGGTCGCTCTCAGCTCGTATTAATCGATCGTGGCATCGGAATAAATGTCGAATATAATCGCGAAAATATTCTGGAGGGTGTATTAAAGCCTTGGGCACGCAAACATTTTGGCCGCAGACCTTGGACATTCCAACAGGACTTAGCAACATAGCACTCAGGTTAAAAAATGAGGTTCCTCGCTTTATTTCCAGCGCACAATGGCCACCAAAATCTCCGAATACCAATCCGTTGGACTATTGTGGCTGGAGTATTTTGGAAAGCAAGGTTGGCACTAAAAATACCAAAGTGTCGATCACCTCAAGCAAGCGCTTCTCCGGTAATGGTCCAAAATATCGCAGAGCAACATTCGGGCTGCGTGTGCGTGGTTTCAGTGGCCGTTTGAAGGCATAAATTATGATGCCAAAGGTGACCAATTCGAACAAATCTTAACTTATTCTAAAATTTGATGCTTTTTCCAATTTCCGACTGGCGTTTTGGTAAGATTTCAATTTTTGACGTCTTCTAGCTGAGCAAAGGTATTTTTTAACCATATTTTGAAAAATGGACCAAAAAGACCCTTATTTTGACTCGCTTGAGGGTTAAAATTGTTGACCAAAATATTACTCGTATTTTTATCTGCAATATTGCCGAAGACACTACATACCTTCAATTCAGGGATTCCAAGGAATCTTAATTCGAAAATTTCCAAATGTGTAGAAAAAAAGGGGGGATCTCGCTACCCCATATTTAGGTTATTTTGAGATGTGAACTTTCAAAACTTTCATAATCTACAGGATTTTCCTCGTAATTATTAAAAAATAACTTATTGCAGAGCGTAATTTTACCGGCATGACTTAAAATATTAACGCCAAGCGGCCAGAGATTTTAAGGGCCTTCCGAATCACCCTTTTATACACCTGTTCGAAATGTCTGACTGAATTTATGATTTTATGCCTTTATATTGCCAACGAAATCCCCTTCAACATGTTTCTGTCATTTTATGTTTATTCCAATTCAAATGAATTTTCCACGCAGCTTTTCTGCCTCCAAATACTCAGACCCATGGTTAGGTTAGGTTAAAGGACGCGCAGCTGCATTTAGCAACTGCTCCACTCGGAGACCTATAGGTCCATTGTGTTCATCCTAGGAAAGAGTTAGAGCGAAAGATAGAGAAAGTATAAGAATTGACAGTAGGAAATAGATAGTACGTAGTCTACGGCTGAGTTTGCCGTGTCGTCTTTAGCCACTTGAACCTTCTGGCTAATTGAAGGATCACTGCAGGGTCCGTGGTAGAAAAAGAGGACAAATCACGTGACACTAGTTCTCCCACTAGTTTATGTCTCACGTTAATGAGCGCTGGGCAGTGGCAGAGCAAGTGTTCGATTGTCTCAATTTCTTCTTCATCTTGACAGATCCTACAGTAATCAATATCATCGCTGTCCCATTTTGAGGTCATAGCCCTCACCTTACAGTGACCTGTGATGATGCCCACCACAAGTTTTAAATCTGGTTTAGACAATGACATCAGCGATCTTGTTCTCTTCTCTGAGAGCACAGGCCAGATTCTTTTGGAGATGGTACATCCCGTTTCATCCAGCCATTTTTGTTGTGTCTTTTCCTGGTAGTGTTTGCGAACGATCTGTAGGAAGTGGCACAGTGGTGGTTTGACCGAATTATCTATTTCTATTGTAGTTGATTCGGATCCTAGCCTGGCCAATTCATCTGCAGTTTCGTTACCTGTGATATTGTAATGGCCGGGAACCCAACAAAGCTTGATTGACAACCTAGAGTGTTCCAAGGCTTCCCTGCAGCTTAAAACCGCCCTAGACTTGATAGTAAAGGAATTTAGTGCTTTCAGTGCCGCCTGACTATCGACATATATAGTCACCGGACTTCCGACCTCTATGTTCCTCGTGACTAGCAGGTCTATGGCCTTTTTGACCGCCAGGATTTCTGCCTGAAAAACGCTACAATTGTTTCTGAGCTTGTAGGATTCACGGATATTAAGGGTGTCACAGAAGACACCTGCTCCCGTACCGCATTCCATCTTTGAGCCGTCGGTATATACAGATATGCCGCGGAAAGGTGGGCTGTTTTGGGACCAGGCTTCTCTTTCAGGTATGTGTATTTCAGGTGGGCAGAAGCTTAATCGTGGTGAAATATAATCACTTGCATAGGCTATCTCTCCCACAGTCCTTACACGCCTTAGAATCGTAGAGTGACCAAATGGTTGACTACGCCATTCACCTAGTTCCCTGAGCCGAAGAGCACACCTGAATGCCAGTTCCTCTACATGTATGGCCAGCGGGCTTAAACCCAGTAGAGTATCTAGCGCAGCTTGAGGCGTGCTCCTAAAGGCACCCGTTATTAGTAAGGATGCGGCTCTTTGGACTTTGTTAATGTTGCGTGAGTAAGTTGGCTTCTTTAGAGAATGCCACCATACTAGAGATCCATAGGTTAGAATGGGGCGAACGATTGACTCATACAACCATTTAATGATGTATGGTTTGAGGCCCCAGCTTTTACCTATGGAGTTCTTGCAAGAATAGAGTGCGATAAAACCTCTTTTGGCTCGTTCCTCAATATTCCTCTTCCAACTTAATTGTCGGTCAAGGATTGTACCAAGGTATTTGGCCTCTGGTGAGAGGTTTAGAGTGACTCCATCTAGTCTTGGTAGTGTAAATAACGGATATTTACGCTTCTTAGTGAAAAGTACGAGCTCTGTCTTTGCTGGGTTCACACCTAGCCCGTTTTGACGTGCCCACCGTGATAGAGTGACTAGAGCTCCTTGCATTAGGTCCGAGATTGTTTGCGGGAATTTCCCGGCAATTAGTAGGACGACATCATCAGCGTATGCGACTACTTTCGTCCCTGTTACCTCTAGATCTATAAGTATGTTGTTAATAACCAAAAGCCAGAGTAACGGTGATAGGACGCCCCCTTGTGGCGTGCCCCTAGTGACCGATTTCCTGACAGATGTTTCCCCAATGCTCGAGTTGATGATTCTGCTGCTAAGCATGTTATCAACCCAGTCTATGAGGAGTTGTGGCAATTTTAGTTTTGATAGTGACTCATGAATGGATTCCAACGTGACGTTGTTGAAAGCTCCCTCAATGTCGAGGAAGGCAGCCAATGTGAATAAGGAGCCATTCATGTTCTTCTCTATATACCCTACGACATCATGTTGCGCTGTCTCAACAGATTTGCCTTTCATATAGGCATGTTGAGCAGTGCTGATGGCGGTTTGGGGTATTAGAGATCTGATCTCTGTGTCTATCAGCCTTTCCAAGGTTTTCAATAGGAAGGATGAGAGACTTATCGGTCTATAGTCCTTGGGAAGTGAGTGACTCGGTTTCCCCGCTTTGGGGATGTAAGTGACTGTGACTTCCCTCCATGATTCTGGGATGTAGGATAGACGCAGACAAGCTTTGAAAATCTCACTCAGTACTGGTGATATTACCGCTGAGACACTTTGGAGCATAGCAGGAATAACACCATCTGGTCCTGGAGATTTAAAAGGTTTGAATGTATCTATGGCCCACTTGATTTTGGGTAAACTTACTATTCTGTCAGCCAAGTCTTGGTCCCTAGTTGTATGATCATGATGTACTTGATCGGTTTGCCGATTGCTTGTCGCGTCAATACAGCCGGGGAAATGCGTGTTGGCTAGCAGGTTAAGAGTCTCTAGTCCAGAGTCAGTCCATGTGCCGTCAGTCCGTTTTATACTTCCGATGGATTTAGGGTCCTTCGAAAGGACTTTACGAAATCTGGAGGCTTCGTTGACACTTTCAATCGACTCAGTAAAGCATACCCAAGATGAGCGCTTGGCCTTCTTGATCTCACTGTTGTACTTGTTGAAGGATGCTTTGTAGGCATCCCAGTCCGTACTATGTTTGGTCTTGTTGGCCCTATTGTACAGTCGTCTACTATCCCTCCTTAAATTGGCTAAATGTTTTGACCACCAAACAGGTTGACATTTCTTTCCCGGGTGGGTTAGTGGACAGACTTTTTCATAACACCCAATTAAGGCACTAGTTATCGCATTTACGGAGTTGTCTATATCGAGGGTTGAGATTAAGACCATGTTGTCGAAACGGTGAAGCCAGGGTATAGCCAGCTCCGTAAATTTGTCCCAATTTGCCTTTCTTGGGTTTCTATGAGGTTTTTGATGAATACCCTCCACCAGTATTTTGAAATTTATCTTTCGATGGTCTGAGAATGAGCATTCGAGAGAAACTTTCCAATCTAGTATGAGAGATTCATCCATGTTAGTAAGGGTGAGATCAATGACCTCAGCCCTGTCTTTGACTAGAAATGTTGCATCGTTGCCCCTATTACATATTTTAAGGTTATATTTCAAGATAAAATCAAAAATCGACTCACCTCTGACGTTAGTATTCGTACTGCCCCATTGGAAGTGGTGTGCGTTGGCATCACAACCTATAATTATGTGCCCGTTGTTGACCAGATCGTCGAGCAGCTCCTCTACCTCGTGGCCGGGTGGGTCAGGTCGCTCATACGGTAGGTAGAGAGAAATGAAAAAGAGAACCCTCCCGGATTTGCATTCCATTCTCGCTACCGTGACGTCTCCTCCACTGTAGTTGCTGAGGAAGATAAGATTTAAATTCTTTTTGGCAACAATACACGTCCTTACCTTATCACCATTGGAGACCGCGTAAGTGACATACTGCCCACTCCCTAACCCAGTTACCCTATTATTGTATGTATAGGGTTCCTGGATTAGGGCTATGTCAACTTCAGATCTCGTGAGGGATAGGAGGAGTTCAGCAGCAGCTGCTTTGCAGTGATGCAGATTAATCTGCATGATATTGAGTAGCTGCTGCTTCCTTCCTCCTAATGCGTTAGCCGGAAGCGGATCCACCCGGCGCCGAAGTGCAATTTTCCCCCACGAGCTTGAAGATACTCCTGGCCATCCTTATCCATGGATACTTTGATGACCAGGCCCCCTCCCTCAGTGGTAGAACTGACAAGACGCCAGCTGTCTGTTTTGAGGTTGGGGTTTTGCTTGCCTAGTATTGTCAGGATGCGTGCCGGATCCACAGATGGTGGTGGCACCCATGCTGTCAATACTCTACGGCAGGGGATGTCCTTTAAGGATACAGCCGCCAGATCGCATCCTTGCCATAGGTCACGGAAGCCAGATACTGCGGTGACTAGGTAATCCTTAGATTCCTGGTTTTCGCAGCACATGACTTTCGCGCCTCTGTAAAGGGTGGCGCTGCCAAACTGCATCCTTCGTGGGTCACCCTCTCCCGTAAAGACAAGCTCCCTCAGTCGATCTTCGAATAGCAGCCATCGACTATCGCTGATTTTACCTTCCGGTTCAGCCCTGTCAATGATTGCTACTCGTAGATTGTCCGGGTAGATCGTCTGGGAGTACTTCCTCTTTCGTCCTGCTTGGCCTGCCGTTTGTGACTTGACCTCTCCTTTGTGGGCCTTATCAGGCTTGGAGCTTGAAGGGCCTGTTGGGGGTGGTTTGGTCACAAGCGACTTGCTGACAGACGAGGTGGAAGTTGTAGGTAAAGGCCGAGAAGCCGGGGCCTTAGATACCTTCTTGGCCTCAGGGTGTGGTTCCTCCGTAGACCGGCCCCTCTTCAACGCCGAGCGCGAAGGGGTGTCGGCCTCCGTTGGAACTGTCGAGGCTGCAGCTATCACAGGTTCCGGCTTCTTGACCTTCCTGTCCCTGCATTTTGGGGTAGATGACCCAGCAGGTCCAGCATTAGGTGTCACCGCGTGGACAACAGCCGGAGTGGCCTTGCTGTCGGTGGTGGACTTGCTGACCTCTGCAGGGTTCTCAACAGTGGGTTGAACTATGGAAGAGTTTGCCCTACTGTTGATGTTAGGTGGTGGGAGAGTTTGGAGTATCTGATTAAGAGAACAACTTGGTAAGTGCGGGTGGTTCTTCTCAAACTTAGCAATTACCTTGAGGTTCATCTTGATCAGAATCCTCTCTCTCTCCGTTATGTGCGCGGGGTCTCGGCCAATAAATTTTTTGCAATAATTCATTGACCTTTTATAACCCCGCCTTGCTTTCGCCTCCTTCGGTTCGACACCATCGTGAGAGGTAGGGTTACTGGTAGATTTCCTGCCAGTACCTACAAGGATGGTATCTTGCCGATCGAGGCTTTTAGCATCGGAGGTTACCGACGATGAACCCTCCTGGATTTGGGACTCCACGCAAGTCTCGTTAGGAGTGTTCTTAGCGGTCTTTTGTGATGACTCACCACTTTGAGACGAGGAAATGACCGTTATGTCAAGTTCCTCATCAGAGAGTGGTGAGTCGTTACTAAAGCCCGAAGGAACACTTTCCTGGCTGAGTCTTAACGTTTTCGTCTTTTCCAGGAGGGCAGACAACTGTTCATTTTGTTGCTGAATACTGTCGTGGATTACGTCACTGTAGTTCAGTATTGAGTCGTCCCCTCCCGATTTGGTATTCATGTCCTGTGGCCGGTCCTTGGTCGTTGCTTCCTTGGAAGCAATGGTGTCGTTGGTGGTTGTTGGGGGTTTGTTTTGTTTGTTTATTGTTTTTTTATCTTTCTCCATATAAAAAGTAGGACTTGGAGGAAACGAGGTCCACCATGGCATAGCCTCCCTACCATGGCAAGGACTTGGCAACTAAGCCTGTTACTCACTGAGGCGCCCAGGTATCAGTGAGGCAACCGTTCGAATACAGTCGGAACCCTGACTGCAAACCTAGGAACACTGATGGGCACGGTTTACATAACACCCCAGCGTTAGGGGGTCTTATTTATCGGTAGACCAACACCGATCACTGGGTATTTTGAGGCGCCAGTTGTTCGCCTCGTCGTAACCAGGGATCATGGGCACTCGGATATTTGTTCCGAGACTCTCCCCCCGGAGACCGCTGAGTTGTCCGCGACTGCTTATTTATTCGCAGCTGCCCAATATATCTATTGGGCGTCCCACTATCCGCAACCTGTGGACGCGTCCGGTAGCATCCAGCTATGCTTCCGATGATCGGCTTCCGATGATCGGCCGGACTCAGACCCATACCCACACTCACTCACAACCGAAATGGAAAGATTCGATAATGTGAGATGTTGATATTTGTCTAAATGACGATTGGAGATGGAAGGGTGGCTTTTCCATTGCTTTACAAAAATTCCACCATTATCATAAAATAATCGTATGAATTTATAATGTTTGCTTAATGTATTATTACACCTGTCAGAGGCATCCGCATGACCTCCATGCCGAAGTAACTGCGATTTTGTGTTGGAACACATGGCATCATTAGCATATGAATATCCTTTTTTTTTCTTTCTTTTGGTTCTCGAAAATATTCCCATAATATTTAATGAGAAAATCCTTTTGGTAAATGTTCAGGATAAAAGAATGACCCGAATGACATGGCGAACCAAGTGGATCAACTTTGAATTGAACTTTTGACAGGCAATGTGTATTTCACCTTCCCATTAAGGCGATATTGCTAAAGTGCTGCGCTGGGCTTAAGCATTTTTTTATTGGTCGAAGGTAATAAAAAAGAAGAGTATTCTTCTTCTTCAATTGTAATTATTTGCATGTGTATTAGTATATGGAGCACCATTATTGCCGGCGTTAGGTGTGACGAAAGCCATGAAGGGATTTGTGAATTATTCCCCCATTGCCATGGCATCCAATTTAAATGAAATTGTCCATTGATTTAAGCCAATGTAAATGTCGGCAGCAATCAAAATGCTGGACAGGTAGAGGGCTATTGTTTTTGTTTACGGGAAACATAGAAAGAAGCATACATTTTTATTGGGACAAAGTTTATCGGTAGCATGGTAGAATTAAAAAACATTAAGTTCGGCCGGGCCAAACTTTTAATACTCTCCACCTTAGGGTAAAAGAAACATTAGAAGAAATGTGGCAAAAACCATTAAAATGCCGAATATCGGGAGGTACCGTTATATGTTGCTATACCAAAACGTGGACCTATAATTACAACATCTCGCCACACGAACTAGGACCCATTATGACCCACAAATACCAATTTTTAGACAAATCAGTGAAAAAATGTGGCAAAAACCATTAAATATAGATATATCTCATTTTCAATACCAACCATCCTAGACACAATGCAAATTGCTCCGCTAAATTTTGGCGCCCTACGTCAAATAATGTGGGCTGTATCGTGATTTCAACAGACATACAGATGGACAGACAGACAGATGGACATCGTTAAATCGACTTAGAATTTTATGCTGATTATGAATATATATACTTTATGGGGTCTAATACGAATAATTAAGGATGTTACAATCGGAATGACAAAGTTAATATACCCTCCTTTCCAAGGTGGAGGGTATAAAAAGGTAACCTTGTTCAAGCAGCCTTGTTTTTTTTTGCAAAATTAAAACTTTGGCAAAAATTAAAACTTTGCTGATATATAAAAAGCCATTTGTTATATTTGTATAGGAACCAGTTTTACCACAATTTCCTAAACATAGCCCAATTATATGGTAGATCAGAATCTGAATTCTTCTGGTATGAAAAAATGAAATGAAAAATTATCGCGTCCTCTTCGGCTCATTACCAAAACAAGGCTCGGATATCACCCGCATTTTTAGAAAATTTGTGATTTTAGTTCTACCTTCGGAAGAAATAACTATTTCAACGTCTCCATATGTAAATCCTAGAAACCAACAGTGACCTCAATATAAAATTTCAGTTCTATCCTTTTACCCAATACCAAATTTAGAAAAATTTAGTACGCTTATCAAACGCCATCTCTCCATCCTAGACACCAATATTGATCCAAAATCAGTACGATTTAGTACTTTTCGAACAATTATAGTACGTGTTTGCAAAACCGCCACCAGGTAAAATTTCGGCATTCTAGCTCTATACATTCACTCAATATAAAATTTAGTACTTTTCCAACATTTATAGAACACTTTTCTGAGACCACCTTCATATTTATATTACAGATACCAACAGAAACCTCACTATCAAATTTGAGATTCCAGCCCTATCAATTCACCCAATACAAAATTGAGTACTATTTTGTGCTTTTCGTACAATTATAGTACATATTTCCGAAACCGCCTTCATATCTATATTCCAGATACCTACACAGACCTCTATATTAAATTTGAGGATTCCAGCCCTATCCTTCACCCAATACCAAATGTATTACCATTTAGTACTTTTCGTATAATTATAGAACATACAGCGTGAGATAGAAAAACTGCAACAAAGTCAAATGCCATAATTTTTACTTTTTTTAAATTTTATTGAATGAATGAATGAATGAATTTACAGCATAAAATTTTAGAATAAGTTTAGATTTGTTCGACTTGGTCAACTTTTGCACGAATTATGGCCTTCAAACGGCCAATGAAACCGTCACACGCTGCCCGAATGTTGCTCTGCGGTATTTTGGTCCATTCCCGGCGAGGAGCATACTTGAGGTGATCGACACTTTGGTATTTTTTAGTGCCAACATTGCATTCCAAAATACTTCAGACACCATAGTCCAACGGATTGGTATCCGGAGATTTGAAGCGAAGAACGGATTGGTATCCGGAGAAATGAAGCGAGGGACCTCATGTTGTAACCATTCTTGGGTGGCGTGTGCTGAGTGCGATGGTGCTGAGTCCTATTTGAATGTTCGAGGTCTGCGGCCAAAATGTTTGTGTATCCAAGGCTTTAATACACCCTTCAGAATATTTTCGAAATAATATTTGGCATTTATTCTGATGCTACGGTCGATTAATACGAGCGGAGAGCGACCATCGGCTGTTTTGTCGGCCCACACCATCATCATGGCCGACGCTTGAGTTCTTGTGGTGAACCGAAGGTGCACATTTTTAGCTGACCTCTTTGGCAAGTAAACACGATCATTTTGTTTGTTTGTCGGAGAAAACCAAATTCGGCAGTTCTCTTGAGTCTATTTTCTTTCTGTTGCGGGTAGGTACCGGAAGGAGTGGGCCGATACATTCAACCTTCTTGTGTTAGTAGAAATAATTGGATGTGTGAAATTCGAAGATAACCCAATGCTTATTTCGAATTTTATGATCGTATTAGTTATTCGAAACTTTGACCCTTTGTGGGGGAGATACCAGAAGGAATGGTCCAATCTCTACCATCTTTGTAAAAAATCTTGTGTTGAAGGAAAATTTGAGATGTGCCAAGTCTGATTGGAATCGGATGTTAAATTCGCGTTTTATGAGCTTCATGGATTTTTTTAAATTTTGATCCTTTGTGGGGGAGGTATCAGAAGAAATTATCGGAACTCTACCATCTTTATAACAGATCTTGTGTTGATAGAAATATTGATATGTGCCAAAGTCTGAATGGAAAGGGTTGTTTCACGTTTTATGAGCTTCATGGATTTTCAAGATTGTGACCCTTTGTGTGGGAGGTACCAGAAGGAGTGGACCGATATATTCCATCTTCATACCAGACCTTGGGTTAATAAAAATATTGTAATGTGTGTAATTTGAAGACAATCGGACTATTAAGTCACATTTTATAAGAGTTATAATTATTCCTTTATGGGGGAGGTATTTAATGACCTATCTGATGACCTATCACTGATGCAAATGTTAGGATTTGCAAAATTGGTTCAAAATCGAATTATTCTTTATCTTTCAGTGCAGTAAAATGATATTTTTGAAAATTTCGCCTTTTTTTGGTGGAGTTATCAGAGGGAGTGGATCGACATTACCCATCTCCGAACTCGATCTATGTTGGGATACTCCCTTCGAGAGTTATCGTATACACCAGCTATACAGACAAACTGAAGGATGGACACCGCTAGATCGAATCCAAATGTCCTGAAACGGATCTGGTCCAAAGAGACCTAGGGTCTAAAAACGTTATTTCGATGAGGAACTTTTTGGCCGTATCAAATTATATATACCCTCTCTAGCCATATGGCTGAGGGTATAAAAACCATTCGTATTGCATATTTTTTCTTAAAACAATAACCATTTAAAATATCTACACAAAAACTAAATTTGCTAAATTTTTAAACATTCCAACAATTGATCCATCCATTAAACTATTAACAATTCATGTGGAAAGAAAAGTGGATTTCAAATTGCCATTAGAATTTATGATTGACCCATGGAAATGCTGCTTTTTATGATGGCCAATAATTGGTGACAACATTCACACTCTCTTTCTAAATTCCATTTCAAATCAAAAATTTATGAAATGACCATTTAACTGTAAATTATTGGTTTTACGAATTCGATTTTGTCATGCGGAGAGCGCCGTGGCAAAAAAAAAAGATACATTAAAAATTTATTTTTATTTCTCTGCCACCCTCCCCGCTTTAAACATAATAAAAGTAATGGAAAGTAGAAGGAATCATTGCAAATCTCTTATTTCACCATTCTCCCCCGACCACCAACCAAACAATTGTCATTTTTTTAACAAGAGTTTGGTGAAATTGCCAAAGTTGTCAACTGTTGGCAATTATTTGAAATGCGTGAAGGAATGCAGCTGATGGTCATTTTCAATTTGTTTGGTGGCAAAAAAAAAAAAAAAAAATAAAAATGCTTGGCAAAATAAAACCAAATTATGGCGGTAATTTCGTTAGAACGGACAATGTCGAATGTTGAGTGGGAGAGATTGTTGCTGGGAGGGAGTGAGAAAAATCTATTTTATTTTTGCACTTGATTTCATTTTTCGGGCTTGTATGGGGCACAGTGTTTTGAAGGCGAATTAAGAATGAATGAAATCAGTATGCCTATAGAACATAAACAATAGCTGAATCTTAGGACAACAACAAGGGATTTTGTTCGTAAAAATTTCTATTTTTCCTACGAAAAATATTTTCACTGCCCTCAAGTACCACTTAGTACAGTTTTTAAATTTTCCAAAACCACATACTCAACCCTTCTTCCACGAATTGATTTTCAAGTTTTTACCACTATCCGTTCACATAATTCCAAATAATATCAAATGTGCATTTTAGTACTCATGGCATACAGGGTGAGATGAAAAAACTGCAACCAAATTCAGACTGCCGTCATTTCTAAGCCACTCGTCCGACAGCTTTTAAAATTATTCCAGTCACAGCTCATTATATTGTTTACAAGCGTACCCAAGCAGATTGGTGAGAATTTTACAGAAAAAAGTTATTCGTGATGGAATTCAAGCGTGATAGTGTGCTTTCTTTATATTTGGCTGGAAAACCACAAGTGGCTATCGTTAGAGCACTCCAGCATTTAAATGTGAATAAATCTCTTGTGTCTCGTACCATCGCTCGTAACCGTGATACTGGTAGCGTAGCCCGACGTCAAGGAAGTGGACGGAAGAAAACAGCAATATTAGCAGAAATGGTTCGAAAAGTAAAGAAACGATTTGATCGAAACCCGCGTCGCAGTGGCCGAAAAATGGCTCATGAGCTTAACACATATCGCAATATTCCATTCGGCAAATATTGAAAAATGAGCTCGGGGTAAAGCCATTGAAACTCCAAAAAGTGCAAGAACTTACACCGCAACAGAAAGAAAATGGACTCAAAAGGGCTAAAGATTTGCTTCGCTAGGCTGAAAGTGGTGAACTGCCGAATTTGGCTTTCTCCGATGAGAAAACATTCGTTGTCCAGCAGTTTGTAAACAAACAAAATGATCGTGTTTATCGAGGTCAGCTGGAAATGTGCACCTTCGGTTGGCCACCAGAACTCAAGCGCCGGCCAAGTTGATGGTGTGGGCCGCCATAACAGCCGATGGTCGCCTCAGTCGATTAATACGAGCAAAGAGCGACCATCGGCTGTTATGGCGGTCCACACCATCAACTTGGCCGGCGCTTGGCCAAGGGTGTATTAAAGCCTTGGGCATGCAAACATTTTGGCTGCAGACCTTGGAAATTCCAGGACTCAGCACCATCGCACTCAGCACAAAAATGGTTACAACATGAGGCTCCTCTCTTCATTTCCAGCGCACAATGGCGACCAAAATCTCTGGACACCAATCCGTTGGACTATTGGGTCTGGAGTATTTTGGAAAGAAAAGGTTGGCACTAAAAAATACCAAAATGTTGAACACCTCAAGCAGGCGCTTCGCCGGGAATGGACCAAAATACCGCAGAGCAACATTCGGGCAGCGTGTGACGGTTTCATTGGCCGTTTAAAGGTTATAATTTGTGCCAAACATTTTTTGCTTTCATTCAATAAAATTAAAAAAAAAAAGTTTGAATACCCTCCACCATTTGAACAAATTTGGAAATTTTCAAAAAATAAAATCTTTAAAATATTATAATAAAAACTTAAAAATTCCGAATATAGCGGTTATATTGGGGTCTATGCGATGTGGACCTACATAGGCATTGTTGTCATAAGCCATTACCATATTCAAATTTGAAACTTGAAATAAACGGTTTTAATTCATCAAAATTCCGCATATAGGGAGGTACCGTTACATCGGAGCTATAGGAAAACCTGGACTTGCATAGACAATTTTCTCTCACAGTCTGTAGCATCCATTACGAACTTCAAATACGAGATCTCAAACAATTTCCGTGAGTATTGTACCTAAAATCGTCAAAATACAGAATATAGGTAGGTACTGATATATGGGGCCTATACGAAGACCTGGATCTGAATAGACAATTTTCTGTCATAGGCATTACGAACTGCAAATACAAAATTTAAAAAAAATTCCGGTGAATAATTTCGCTAAAATCATCAAAATACCGAATATCGGGAGGTACCGTTATATGGGGGCTATACGAAAAATGGGACCTACATAGCCCATTTACGAACTTTACCTGCCTACCGGCAAAATAAACATATCCGCAATATTTTAGCCTTATATCTCGATTCGTTCGAAAAATAGTGTGATTACAACAGACAGACGGACACACAAACAGACAGATCAAGAAGATAGATACTTTGTTGGGTCTTACATGAGTATTTCGAGGAGTTACAAACGAAATGACAAGGTTAATATACCCTCCATAGTATGGTGGAGGGTATAAAAATGTAAAAAATATGGCGTTTGACTTTGTTGCAGTTTTTTATCCCACACTGTAATCGGCCCCGCCAGACTTTTGACCTTTCCTTACTGGATATATGTTGTTAACATTCCGAATTTTAACAATTCTCACAACACTGTTCCATGTCGCCTAGTAAAAATCAACATTTGCAAGTGTTTTCCTTTAGATTGCGTGCAGCAAACATTCTCTTTAGCACTTTGGTGAAATTTATGGGCAATGGTGGTGGTGCTGGTGTCGGTGATGACGGTGTTAAAACAAGCTCCATATAAAACCGGCGAGCATCATTGTAGCCCTCGTTAAAAGCATCAAGGAATTCAAGTTGTTCGTCCATTCGTTTGAACGGATTTTTATTGAAAAATTTGGTTTACGACCGAACAGCGACCGAACCAATTCGCTGTGTAAAGTGAAACGGAAACGAAAGCTAGAGCGGATACAGGAAACAACACATTGCAGCAGTATTTGTTGACGGACGCAAAAAAAAAAAGAAATCAAAGTTGCCGGAGAGTGGGAATTTTATGCGGCAATTTGTTGGTTAGTTTGACACATCAATCTATTATTGGGGGGATTCCAAATGGCGTTGCAGCCAATGGCGTCGTCCTCGTCATCTGCCTCCAATAAAATCCATACCTGGCAAGCATTTCGTAACCATTGGATTTTATGGAAATTTTGTGGCTTACATCCGCCAAAACGCAACTCCAGATGGTTTAATCCCTATCTGATTTATGCCATCGTCCTGAATGTGACCACCACCCTAATGTTTCCCATCACCCTCATTGTCGATTTGATACTTTCCCAGAATCTAACGGAATTATGCGAAAATCTCTATGTGACAATAACCGACGTGATTTGCAGTCTTAAGTTTATCAACATTTTTACGGTACGTCACAAGCTGTTGGAGGTACGTTGGATACTGGAGCGTTTGGATGTGAGAGCCACGACGCCGGAACAACGGCAAGAGTTACGCCATGGCATTCAAACGTCACATAAATGGTTTATGGCATTCTTTCGCTTCTATACGTGTGCTGTCATCACCAGTCAATTGGTGGTTTATCTATCCAAGGAACGGGTACTAATGTATCCGTCATGGTTTCCCTGGGATTGGAAGGCATCGAAGCGTAATTTCTTATTCGCCCATTGCTATCAGGTCTATACGGTGTCGGTGCAGACGGTGCAAAATCTTGGCAGTGATACCTACCCGCAGGCCTACATTGTGGTATTGATTGCTCACATTCGGGCATTGGGGTTGCGCATCAAGGCACTGGGGGAGGCGTTGTCAGCGACAGCAGCAGGAGACGTCTCATCGCCATCATCGTCATCTAAGAAACTTTCCGATGATGAATTGTATCGAGAATTGGTCAATTGTGTTAAGGATCATCAAATTGTTCATGAGTAAGTTAATAGGATATGAAAAACATTTTTTAGTAAAAGAGACAGGATACTTGTGGGGGTAAGGATAATAATAAAAAATATCGCATCCAGGGAGTGCGTGATTTTTTTTATTAAGGCAAACATAGTCCGATGTGACCACGCCTTAGAAGGTCTTAAAATCTTTCCAAAATTCATTAAAAAATCCACGCCTTAGAAGGTCTTAAAATTCCTTCAAAAATTCTTTAAAAAATCCATGCCTGGAGACGTCTTAAAGTCCCTGTAAAATTAATTAAAAAATTCCACTCCATCGGAGATATTAAAATTCTTCTAAAATTCATTAAAAAATTGCACGCCCTAGAAGGTATAAAAATTCTTTTAAAATTCATTAAAAAATTGCACGCCTTAGAAGGTCTTAAAATTCTTCTAAAATTCATTAAAAAATTGAACGCCCTAGAAGGTATAAAAATTCTTTTAAAATTCATTAAAAAATCCACACCTTAGAAGGTCTTAAAATTCTTCTAAAATTCATTAAAAAAACAACGCCTTAGAAGGTCTTAAAATTCTTCTAAAATTCATAAAAAATCCACGCCTTAGAAGGCCTTAAAATTCTTCTAAAATTCATAAAAAAAATCCACGCCTTAGAGTGTCTTAACATTCTTCTAAAATTCGTTAAAAAAAATCCACGCCTTAGAAGGTCTTAAAATTCTTCCAAAATTCAGTAAAAAAAAATACACGCCTCAGAAGGTCTTAAAATTCTTCTAAAATTCATTAAAAAATCCTCGCCTTAGATAGTCTTAAAATTTTTCTAAAATTCATTAAAAAATCCACGCCCAGAAGGTCTTAAAATTCTTCCAAAATTCACTAAAAAACCCAGGCCTGGGTAGGTATTGAAATCCTTCTAAAATTCTTTAAAAAATCCAGGCCTGGGTAGGTCTTAAAATCCTTCTAAAATTCTTTAAAAAACCACGCCTTAGAAGGTCTTAAAATCCTTCCAAAATTCATTAAAAAATCCAGGCCTGGGTAGGTCTTGAAATCCTTCTAAAATTCTTTAAAAAATCCAGGCCTGGGTAGGTCTTAAAATCCTTCTAAAATTCTTTAAAAAACCACGCCTTAGAAGGTCTTAAAATTCTTCTAAAATTCATTAAAAAAACCACGCCTTAGAAGGTCTTAAAATTCTTCTAAAATTCATAAAAAATCCACGCCTTAGAAGGCCTTAAAATTCTTCTAAAATTCATAAAAAAAATCCACGCCTTAGAGTGTCTTAACATTCTTCTAAAATTCGTTAAAAAAAATCCACGCCTTAGAAGGTCTTAAAATTCTTCCAAAATTCAGTAAAAAAAATACACGCCTCTGAAAGTCTTAAAATTCTTCTAAAATTCATTAAAAAGTCCACGCCTTAGAAGGTCTTAAAATTCTTCTAAAATTCATTAAAAAATACACGCCTTAGAAGGTCTTAAAATTCTTCTAAAATTCATTAAAAAATACACGCCTTAGAAGGTCTTAAAATTCTTCTAAAATTCATTAAAAAATCCACGCCTTAGAAGGTCTTAAAATTCTTCTAAAATTCATTAAAAAATCCACGCCTAGAAGTTCTTAAAATTCGTCCAAAATTTATTAAAAAATCCACGCCTTAGAGGGTCTTAAAATTCTTCTGAAATTCATTATATAATCCTCGCCTTTGAAGGTTCTAAAATTCATTAGATAATCCTCGCCTTTGAAGGTTCTAAAATTCATTAAAAAATCCACGCCTTATGAGGTCTAAAAATCCTCATAAAATGCAATAAAAATCCATGCCAAGAGACGTCTAAAAATCCTTCCAAATTAATTTAAAAATTAATTTAAAATCAAAAAAAGATCTACCCTCGGTAGAACTATAATTTTTTTATATTCTCTTTTCCAGACTCTATCTCACCATTCAAGAGTGCATATCGAAGACGTGTCTAGCACAATTTGTGGCCACCGGACTGGCCCAGTGTACCATTGGGGTTTATATCATTTATGTCGGGTCGGATTTTTCGCGACTTTTGAATAGTTTTATGTTTTTCGGAGCCATAACAATTGAAATATTAATTCTTTGCTATTTTGGCGATTTGTATTGTCGGGCCAATGATTTTCTAATCGATGCCATTTACGATTGCAATTGGATCGACAAGGATGAACGTTTTAAAAAGGCATTGCTGTTGTTGTTGCAACGTTCACAGCAGGCGGATTGTTTGAAGGCAGGCAATTTGATACCGGTGCGATTGCCAACGTTTGTGAAGGTAGGTTATTCTGAAAAGGCTTTCAGATGTGTGCCTGTGTGTGTAAATGTATGATAGCCTGTCATTTATGATTTCCTCTGCTTTTGGCCAATAATAGACTATAATATTCATTGAAAATCATATACTATTTGTATAATAATAATTAATAGATATTTTATCGGATTATGTAAACACTTTGTCCCCAAAGTGTATCGGATATTGTCCTGTCCTCTCTGCACACACACACACACATACTTTCATATTTATTCTCAATTAATAATATTAATTTGCTACTTGTTTATTCAATTACAGATTATGAAAACTGCTTATTCAGCTTTTACTGTATTAAATGAAGTTAATTAAATGACCATCACCATCTGCAGGATGTAGCAAGGATATGGAACAAATTGCATATTTGTTGCAGCATAACTCGATTTACATGCAAATATATATAAATGTAATAACAACAATTATTGCGTGTCATTATTTGCAATAAAATCCAAATATTAACGGAAAATGTCATTAAATGGATGGAAATGAAGGGTAAATAGCTAATAAAAGTCGGAGCAGGTGGCCACAGTTTTAGATAGGTGGGAAGGTCTTAAAATCCCTTTAAAATTCATAAAAAATCCAAGCCTGGGTAGGTCTTAAAATCCTTCTAAAAATCCATAAAAAAAAATCTATCTAAAAACTCCACGGCTTTGGAGGTTTTAAAATCCTTCTAAAAATCCATAAAAAAAATCTATCTAAAAACTCCACGCTTGCTTGGTCTTAAATTCTTCTAAAATCCTTTTAAAAATCCACGCCGGGGTAGGCCTTAAAATCCTTGTAAAATTCTTTAAAAACTCCACGCTTGCTTGGTCTTAAAATCCTTCTAAAATCCTTTTAAAAATCTACGCCTGGGCAGGTCTTAAAATCCTTGTAAAATTCTTTTAAAAATCTACGCCTGGGCAGGTCTTAAAATCCTTCTAAAATCCTTTTAAAAATCTACGCCTGGGCAGGTCTTAAAATCCTTGTAAAATTCTTTTAAAAATCTACGCCTGGGCAGGTCTTAAAATCCTTCTAAAATCCTTTTAAAAATCTACGCCTGGGCAGGTCTTAAAATCCTTGTAAAATTCTTTTAAAAATCTACGCCTGGGCAGGTCTTAAAATCCTTCTAAAATCCTTTTAAAAATCTACGCCTGGGCAGGTCTTAAAATCCTTCTAAAACTCTTTAAAGAAACACGCCTGGGTAGATCTTAAGATGCTTCTAAAATTCTTTAAAAACTCCACGCCTGGGTAGGTCTTAAAATCCTTCTAAAATTCTTTAAAAAATCCACTCCTGGGTAGGTCTTAAAATTCTTTAAAAACTCCACGCCTGGGTAGGTCTTAAAATCCTTCTAAAATTCTTTAAAAAATCCACGTCTGGGTAGGTCTTAAAATCCTATTAAAATTTTTTAAAAAATCCACTCCTGGGTAGGACTTAAATCCTTCTAAAATTCTTTAAAAAATCCACTCCTGGGTAGGTCTTAAAATCCTTCTAAAATTCTTTAAAAAATCCACGCCTGTGTAGGTCTTTAAATCCTTCTAAAATTCTTTAAAAAATTCACGCCTGGGTGTTTAAAACCCAACCAATTCTTCTAAAATTCTTTAAAAAATCCAAGCCTGGGTAGGTCTTAAAATCCTTTTAAAATTTATTAAAAAATCCGTTATCCTATTTAAATGACCGGCAGTATAAAGGCCTCATTGTTTGTTGGTCCTGTCACTCTGTGGCAGCTCAAAAGTGAATAGGATAAAAGAAATTGTGGTCAGATTACATCAACAATTCACAAAATATTGACTTCGTGGATTGTGGATGTGTTATGTGGTCTGGCGGGAAGTGTCACAGGAAACCGCAAAACTTCTTTCTTCTATTAGCCTATTCAAAAGCTTTTCAATGGAAACACAGTTCAGTTACAACTCTCGAAGCCACAAAAGGCAATACGGACACCAACCAACGAAACCATTCGTAATCTTTAAGTGCCTCTTTGTAACATTTATATTGGAAAGATGTCAGTGCTATTCTCTCCCCACCCTAATACATGGGAGGCCTTCAAATATCATTGGCTGCTCTGGAAATGGTGTGGCCTACAACCCCCATCACGTGACTCCAAATGGTTCAGACCTTATCTGGCCTATGCCATTATCTTCAATTTGACCACCATTCTATTTCCCCTCAGTTTGGTATTGGATCTGACTCTCTCCCAAAATCTCACGGAAATTTTTCAAAATCTCTATGTCACTGTGACAGTTGTGTTTTCAAGTCTGAAATTCGTTAATGTTTTTCTGATACGTCGCAAATTGCTGGAGGTTCGTTTCCTGCTGGAACGTTTAGATGTTCGAGCCAACACCGAGGAACAACAGCAGGAATTGAAGAATGGCATTGCCATGGCCCATAAATGCTTCATGATTTTCCTGCGTTTGTATGTATGCGCCATAACCACAAGCCAATTGGTGGTGTATTTTTCCAGTGAGCGGGTCCTTATGTATCCTTCATGGCTGCCATGGGATTGGAGAGAATCGAAGAGGTATTTCCTCTTCGCCATTTGTTTTCAAATCTATGCAGTGTCTGCACAGCTAAGTCAAAATCTTGGTAATGACACCTATCCTCAGGCCTATATTGTTATCCTGATTGCCCATATTCGTGCCTTGGCTTTGAGAATTAAACATTTGGGAGTTGTGTCGACATCTGTACCAGCGCCAGAGGGGAAGTTATCCCAGGAGGATTTTTATCGCGAGTTGCGTCAATGCGTTAAGGATCATGAACATGTACATGAGTAAGTACATTACTAATATTTGAAATTTCGTATAGAGAATACTACTAGAAAAGGACATTAAGAAGGACTTTCATCTACATGTAGAAATTACCTCTTCTACAAAAACAAAATTTTCCAAAAGGGTTGCATAAAACCTTTTACACATTTTCTTTAGAGGGAATACATTGAAAGGACTTCTTCGGAAAGATGACCTTCTAAAGGCCGTTTTTGAAAAGATGACATTTAAAAGGGTATTCCATGTAAATATAAACGACTAAAGGACTTTTATAGAAAGAATAAGGTCTTCTACATGACCTAATATGACCTATAGATGCTCTTTAGGGGAGAGAAAACATATGAAAAGCGTTTTAAGGAGACTCCAAAATTCATTGAAAATGTACGGCTGGGAAGTATTTAAACATTTCTAAAATTCATTGAAAATCCACTTCTGGTACTATTTAAAATCTATCTAAAATTTACTAAAAACTGCAGAACTGAGACGTCTAAAAAGGCTTCTAAAATTCATTAAAAAACCGTTTAAAAAGATGTTTAAAACATCTTCTGAAATTCGTTAAAAAATACAATAAAGTCCTTCAAAAATTCATTAAAAAATGCAGGCCTTGTTAGGTCTTTAAGTCCTTCAAAAATTCATTAAAAAATCCAGGCCTTGTTAGGTTTTAAAGTCCTTCAAAAAATTCATTAAAAAATCCAGGCCTTGTTAGGTCTTAAAGTCCTTCAAAAATTCATTAAAAAATCCAGGTCTTGTTAGGTCTTAAAGTCCTTCAAAAAATTCATTAAAAAAATCCAAGCCTTGTTAGGTCTTCAAGTACTTCACAAATTCATTAAAAAATCCATGCCTTGGTATATCTTAAGGTCCTTCACAAATTCATTAAAAAGTCCACGCCTGGGTAGCTCTTAAAATCCTTATAAAATTCTTTAAAAAATCCACGCCTGGGTAGGTCTTAAAATCCTTCTAAAATTCTTTAAAAAGTCCTCGCCTGTGTAGGTCTTAAAATCTATCTAAAATTCTTAAAAAAACACGCCTGGGAATGACTTAAAGTCCTTCTAAAATCCTTTAAAAAAATCCACGCCTGGGTAGGTCTTAAAATCCTTCTAAAATTCTTAAAAAAACCACGGCTGGGAATGACTTAAAGTCCTTCTAAAGTCCTTTAAAACATCCACGCCTGGGTAGGTCTTAAAATCCTTCTAAAATTCTTAAAAAAACCACGCCTGGGAATGACTTAAAGTCCTTCTAAAATCCTTTAAAAAATCCACGCCTGGATAAATCTTAAAATCCTTCTACAATTCTTTAAAAAATCCACGCCAGGGTAGCTCTTAAAATCCTTCTAAAATTCATTAAAAAGTCCACGCCTGGGTAGCTCTTAAAATCCTTCTAAAATTCATTAAAAAGTCCACGCCTGTGTAGCTCTTAAAATCCTTCTAAAATTCATTAAAAAGTCCACGCCTGGGTAGCTCTTAAAATCCATCTAAAATTCATTAAAAAGTCCACGCCTGGGTAGCTCTTAAAATCCTTCTAAAATTCTTAAAAAAATCCTCGCCTGGGTAGGTCTTAAAATCCTTCTAAAATTCTTAAAAATACCACGCCTGGGAATGACTTAAAGTCCTTCTAAAATCCTTTAAAAAATCCACGCCTGGATAAATCTTAAAATCCTTCTAAATTTCTTTAAAAAATCCACGCCTTGAGAGTTTCTAGAATTCATTAAAAAATCCACGCCTTGAGAGTTTCTGGAATTCATTAAAAAATCCACGCCTTAGGTCTTAAAATCTTTCTAAAATTCATTAAAAAATGTATGCCTGGGGACGTCCTAAAATTCGTTAAAAAGTCCACGTCTGAAGACATCTGAAAATCCTTCGAAAATGTATTAAAAATATCAGTGCCAGGGGATATCTTGGAGACCTCTAAAACCCTTCTCAACTTCATTGGAAATCCACTTATAGTGATGTCATAAAATCCTTTAAAAATCCATATCTAGAGACGTCTTGAGATCCTTCTAGAAATAATAAAAAATTCTCAACTGTGGACGTCCAAAAATCCGTATCCTAATCCTATGGATAGAGTTTTCCATTTAAAGAATTTCGTTTAATTTGATTTTAATCTACATTTCTCACTACTTTTTTCTCTCCCTTTCTCCCTCTCGTTTCATTTGACAGACTTTACCTTACTATCCAGGAGTGCCTGTCAACCACGTGCCTTGCTCAATTCATTGCCACTGGTTTGGCTCAGTGCATCATTGGCGTTTATATTCTCTATGTCGGCGATGATTTCTCCCGCCTTCTAAATAGTTTGGTTTTCTTTGGTGCGGTGACAATTGAAATTTTGGTTCTCTGCTATTTCGGCGATTTGTATTGTCAGGCCAATGAATTTTTAATCGATGCCATTTACGCCACAAATTGGATGGACCGCGATGGGAGATTTAAAAAAGCCTTGTTGTTGGTATTGCAGCGCGCCCAGGTGACGAATTGTTTGAAGGCTGGCAATTTGACACCGGTCATGTTGCCCACATTTGTGACGGTAAATATAGGATGATATTTAGAATATGTATTTGTATTGACATCTGAATTTAGAATATTTAATTAAATATTATTATAGAATTATTTTTTTATTCTGTTTATAAATTTTAATTTTTTTTTGATTTATTTTTCAGATTATGAAAACTGCCTATTCAGTTTTTACGGTTTTGAATAAGGTGAATTAATTGGCTTTACTCGAAGCTATACAATTTGGAGATGCGAAGATAAATTAAATTGGATTAAATCGTATTGTTTAAATCGATGAAACAATTAATTTCTTAACGAATTAAAATCATTTCAATTCCCCTAAAATTGTGTCAAAAATTTGTGAATCATTGAAAAGTAGGGCCATAAAAGAGGCTATGCTTGAAAAGCAGATTTATTGTCCTTTAGAAATATTCTGAAAATACCCTCGCTACTTTTGCTTCACATAAAATTGAGAACAACATTTAACCGCAACTGTAAATATTTAATGCAAACGACCTTTTCAAATGCCATTTTAATTTGGAATGGAAAATTTATGGGAATGCGGAACATTTATGGGAATAATCACAACAATGATTGGAATTTTTCTACCCTCCACCATACATAGTATGGGGGGTATATTAAGGCCGTCATTCCGTTTGTAACTCAACGAGATAATAATTTTAGACCCAACAAGGTTTATATACAGGGAGAGACAAAAAAACTGCAACAAAGTCAAATGCCATAATTTTTATGACCTTAAACCGGCCAATGAAACCGTCACACACTGCCCGAATTTTGCTCTGCGGTATTTTGGCCCATTCCCGGTGAAGCGTAGCATCCATTACGAACTTCAAATACGACATCTCAAAATTTCGGTGAGTATTGTACGTAAAATCGCCAAAATACCGAATAAAGGAAGGTACTGATATATGGGGCCTATACGAAGACCTGGACCTACATAGACAATTTTCTGTCACATACTGTAGGTTCTATTACGAAATCTAAATACGTAATTTGAAACTACTCCAGTGAATAATGACGCTAAAATCATCAAAATACCGAATATTTGAAGGTATCGTTATATGGGGCCTATACGAAAACCTGGACCTGCATAGACAGTTTTCTGTCGTAGGCTGTAGTATCCATTTTGAACTTCAAATACCAAATTTGAAACAATTCCGGTAAACAATGTCGCTAAAATTATCAAAATACCGAATATCGGGAGGTACCGTTGTATGGGGGCTATATGAAGAAGTGGACCAGCACAGACAATTTTTTGTCACAGACTGTAGTTCCCATTACGAACTCGGTGAATAATGACACTAAGATGATCAAAATACCGAATATCGAGGGGTATCATTAAATGGGGGCTATACGAAGACGTGGACCTACATGGCCCATTTTCTGCCTTATGCTGTAGTATCTATTACGAACTTCAAATACTTAATTTGAAACAATTCCGGTAAATAATGTCGCTAAAATCAACAAAATACCGAGTATTGGGAGGAACAGTTATATGGGGGCTTCATTTCGTTCGGAAGCTACAGTGATTTCCACAGACGGACGGACATTGCTAAGTCGACATAGAATTTTATGCTGATCAAGAATATATATACTTTGTGGGGTCTAAAATGTATATTTCGAGGTGCTACAAACGGAATGACAAATATAGCCTCCATACTATGGTGGAGGGTATAAAAATGTAAAAATTATGGCGTTTGACTTTGTTGCAGATTTTTTTATCTCATCCTGTAATTGTCCTTAACTACCCTCGATTGGATGCCTACTTTTAAAATTGTCCTAAAATATCTACAGGGTTATGGAGTGTTTAGTCTACGAAGATAGTTTTTAATCTATTAAAGTTTTCTTATACACCCCTGTCTGCAGTGTCCCAAACTTGTCCATAAATATCCGTGCCTGTAGTCTCCAAAAATATTTCATAAACACCGAAAAACCCTAACCATGCCATTAATCTCCAGAAATATTCCTCAAAAACCCCAAAAAATATTCAGCATTGACACACGCCTAGAGTTTCCAAAAATATTCCTCATTAAATCACGCCTATAGTCTCCAACGTCTATATTCTCAAAAAAAAAAAAAAAAAGTCTCCAAAAAACAGTCCTTAAATACCCACACCCATAGTCTCCACGTCTATATTCTCCAAAAACAGTCCTTAAATACCAACACCTTTAGTCTCCACGTCTATATTCTCCAAAACAGCCTTTAAATACCAATGCCTATAGTCTCCAAAAAACAGTCCTTAAGTACCCACGCCTATAGTCTCCAAAACAGCATTTAAATACCAATGCCTATAGTCTCCAAAAAACAGTCCTTAAATACCCACGCCTATAGTCTCCAAAACAGCCTTTAAATTCCAATGCCTATAGTCGCCAAAAAACAGTCCTTAAATACCCACGCCTATAGTCTCCAAAACAGCCTTTAAATACCAATGCCTATAGTCTCCAAAAAACAGTCCTTAAATACCCACGCCTATAGTCTCCAAAACAGCCTTTAAATACCAATGCCTATAGCCTCAAAAAAACAGTCCTTAAATACACACGCCTATATTCTCCAAAAAACAGTCCTTAAATACCCACTCCTTTATTCTCCAAAAAACAGTCCTTAAATACCCACGCCTATAGTCTCGAAAAACAGTATTTAAATACTCACACCTATAGTCTCCAACAACTGTCTTTAAATACCCACACATATGTCTCCAAAAACAGACTTGAAATACCCACACCTATAGTCTCAAAAAAAAAAAAATATTTAAATATCACGCCTATAGTCTCCAAAAACAGTATTTAAATACCCACGCCCATAGTCTCCAAAACCAGTCTTTAAATACCCACGCCTATAGTCTCCAAAAACAGTTTTTAAATACCCATACCTATAGTCTCCAAAACAGTTCTTAAACACCCACGCCTATAGTTTCCAAATATATAAAAAATATGTTAAAATACCATTGCCTTTAGTCTCCAAAAATAATTTTTAAATACGCAAGTCTATAGTCTCCAAAAGTGCTACAACGGATATAGTCTCCAAAAACTGTTCTAAAACACCCACACTTATGGCGCTTTCAGTATCTAAAAATAGTTCGAAAAGAAACTTCGTGAATGAGCGACCGCAAAAAAAACGTAAATAAATCTTGCAATTTTGTTTTCATTCTTTGGATTTGAATTCGTGATATCCAAATGCACTGCCACGCTGATAAGAGAAAACCAAAACTAAACTTTGCAACAAATCGTTCTTCAAAACCAAACCCACATAATTTTCGTTGGGCGATTAGCTTTACTCCCTCTTCGGCGGGCGATTAGTTTTGTTTTCAATTCGAAAAAATGAAGAAAAGCAACGAAGAATTTGATAAATTCTGACATTGAACTGATAAGAAGAAATGGGAAATGGAACCAACGACAGAAACACACAAATAAACCTAAACTGGGAACAAAGCTTAGCTTTTTGAATTCTAACCATTTAAATTACGATTTAGTTTGAAAACTAATACCGCAAAGTAAACAAGCAACGTTCGAAGAAAACACAAGGCAAATAACAACAAAAACCGAATTATGAAACTATTCCAAATCTGTTTGATTTTGGTGACACTATTGGCTATTTATGCCGAGGCATCGAATCTCAAACGCCGTCTGATGAGCATTGATGCGGATGGCGATGGTGTGGACGACACCTCTGATGATGTACCCGATGATATGGACGATGGCGATGATACAGAAGAGATTGTTCACACCAATGTCGATAATGGCGATGATGAAATCAAAGATTTGAAAACGGTGGCCATCAAGTCGCGCGTCATCACCTTGGACCGGGAATTGTGCCGTGAACAGTCACGCTATCATCCGCACTATCCCAAGTGCCAGATGTATTGTGAAAATCTGAAACATTGGATGGGCATGTGTCGTCGTGACACCTGTCACTGTTATTCGTAGGAGAATTCACCTTAAAGAGATATAAGATGAAATAGAATGAGGGAAAGCAAAAAGGATGAAATCAATATTGGCTCCACCACCACCACCACCACCTCAACCGCAGAAGGACAATTTTTGGATATTTGGGTGCAGAAAAAATATTTGTTTACATTTAATTAGACTCTATCAATGTATGTATAACAAATTACTATCGTATCGTATGTGTGCTTTCGATTAATTAAAACAATGTATTAAGAAAACGAAATATTATTTTTGGAATTATTTACTGTGGTTCGAAACGGAGGTAATGTATTGTGAAGTGTAATTGAAGTGTTTTTATACCCTCCACCATAGTATGGAGGGTATATTATGTTTCTCATTCCTCGAAATATACATTTTGAACCCCACAAAGTATATATTCTTGATCAGCATAAAATTCTATGTCGATTTAGCGATGTCCGTCCGTCTGTTCGTCTATGAAAATCACTCTAGCTTCTGAACGAATTAAAGTAGACTGATAAAATTTTACTCAAATGTATATAAAGTCAGCAGGACTTTTGGTATTGAAAATGGACCATGTTAGTCCACGTTTTGGTATAGCCCTCATATAACGGTACATCCCGAGATTCGGTATTTGGTATTTGAAGTTCGTAATGGATACTACAGCCTGTGGCAGAAAATTGTCTATGCAGGTCCACGCTTTCGTCTAGTTTCCATATCATGGTACCTCCCTATATTCGGTATTTTGATGATTTTAGCGACATTATTCACCAGAATTCTTTCAAATTTTATATTTGAAGCTCGAAATGGAAACTACAGCCTATGACAGAAAATTGTATACGCAGGTCTAAGTCTTCGTTTAGGCCCCATATATTAGTACCTCCCGATATTCGGTAATTTGATGATTTTAGCTACATTATTCACCGATTTTTTTAAGTTTCTCATTTGAATATTGTAATGGCTTATGACAAAAGTTGCCTGTGCAGGTCTACGTCTTTGTATAGACCACAATATAACGGCTGTATTTGGTATTTTTAAGATTTTAACAGATTTTTTTAAACGTTTTTTTGAAAAATTCAAAATTCGTTCCAAATGGTGGAGGGTATTCAAAGTTCGGCCCGGCCGAACTAACAGCTTTTTATACCCTCAGCCATATGGCTACACGGCCAAGACGTGAATAACGGCTTTAGACCCTAGGTCTCTTTGGACCCAATCCGTTTCAGAACATTTGGAGTCGATCTAGCCATGTCCGTCCGTCCCTTCGTCTGTCTGGCTGGTGCGCACGATAACTCTCGAAGGGAGTATCCGATTCGATCCACACTTGGTACATCGTAATATTATTGTCAAACTTAGATCGAGTTCGGAGATGGGCAATATCGGTCCATTCCTTCTGGTACCTCCCCCACAAAATGTCAATATTTTCAAAAATATACTTTTTGCAAAGAAAGAGAAAGGATAATCCGATTTTGATCCAACTTTTGCAAATCCTAATATTTGCGTCAGTGATAGGTCAGGTGCGACTATGGACAATATCGGTCCACTCTATCCAGTACCTCCCCCACAAACGGTTAAAATTTTGAATAATTACAACTCTTATAAAATGTGATGTAAGAGTCCGATTGTCTTCAAATTTCGCACATTAAAATATTTTTATTAATCCAAGGTCTGGTGTTAAGATGGAATACCTAGGACCACTTCTTCTGGTACCTCCCCCACAAAAGGTCGAAATTTTCAAAAAATATATTTCTGCACAGAAAGAGGAACGAAAATCAGATTTTGCTCCAACTTTGCAAATCCTAATATTTGCGTCAGTACTATGTCAGGTGCGAAAATGAACAACATCGGTCCACACCATCAAGTACCTCCCCCACAAAGGGTCAAAATTTAGTTTAATTACAATTTTTAAAAAAGTGTGATGTAAGAGTACGATTGTCTTCAAATTTCACACATCCCACGGTCCACTCCTTCCAGTACCTTCCCCCCCTTCCAAACAAAAAAAATCGAAATCTTGAATATCCATGGAGCTCATAAAACGCAAAATTAGCACCCGATTACATTCAGACTTGGTACATCTCAATATTTTAATCCACACAAGATCTGTTATAAAGATGGTAGAGATCGGACCATTTTTGCTGGTATCTCCCCCACTCCATGTTTTGAATAATGAAAACGATTATAAAATCCGAAATAAGCATACGATTCTCGTACCATTATTTCTACTAAAACAAGATTTGCTGTGAAGATAGGATATATGGGTCCACTCCTTCTGGTACCTCCACGACGAAGGGTCAAAATTTTGAATATCCATGAAGCTCATAAAAACACGAACTTAACATTTGATTCCATTTAGACTTGGCACATCCTAATATTTCTATCAATATAAGATCTGTTATAATGATGATAGAGATTAGACCATTTCTTCTGGTGCCTCCACCACAAAGGGACAACGTTTTGAATAATCAAAACGATTATAAAATCCGAAATAAGCATCCGGTTCTCTTCATATTTCACATTTCCAGATCTGCTGTGAAGCGGCTCATTACAGCAACATCAGCAGAAATGGTTTGAAAAGTAAAGAAGCGACTTTATCGAAACTCGCGTCACAGTGACAGAAAAATGGCTCGTGAGCTGAACATATCGCAATATTCCATTCGGAATTGCTTCGCTTGGCCGAAAGTGGTGAACTGCCGAATTTGGTTTTCTCCGATGAGAAAACATTCGTTGTCCAGTAGTTTGTAAACAAACAAAAGAGGTCAGCTGAAAAAGTGCACCTTCGGTTGGCGACCAGAACTCAAGCTACGGCCATGGTGATGGCGAGGGCCGCCATAACAGCCGGTGGTCGCTCTCCGCTCGTTTTAATTGACCGTGGCATCAGAATAAATGCCGAATATTAAACGCGAAAGTAGGTACTCTTGAAACATTTTGGCCGCAGACCTTGGACATTCCAACAGGACTCAGCACCATCGCACTCAACACGCTCCACCCAAGAATGGTTACAAAATGATGTTCCTCGCTTCATTTCCAGCGCATAATGGCCACCAAAATCTCCGGATACCAATCCGTTTGACTAGTGTGTCCGGAGTATTTTGGAAAGCTAGGTTGGCACAAAATAATACCAAAGTGTCCATCACCTTAAGCAAGCCGGGAATGGATGAAAAAGCCGCAGAGCAACATTTGGGCAGCGTGTGACGGTTTCTTTGGCCGTTTGAAGGTCATAAATTGTGCCAAAGGTGATCAATTCGAACAAATCTAAACTTATTCTAAAATTCGATCCTATTTCCTATAATTTTGGCTTTCAATCAATAAAATTAAAGAAAAATTTACAAATTATGGCGTTTGACTTTGTTGCAGTTTTTTCATCTCACCCTCACACAAAATGCCAGATGCTTATGACATATAATTTCACTCAAACCGAATGATACTTTCTAATATGTTCTCCATCAACTAAATGCCGTTGCCGTATGTCTCCCCATAAATAATGCCCTTTCAATTCAAAATTTCCAACATCTTCCATATTTCTCACATACTTTCGATTAAATGAATCTCTGCCATAAATTATTATAAATGTCTCAAAATGTCACTGTTTATTATTCATTTCATATGTTCTGGTCCTGTTTATCAACGACTCTCTAATTCTAATTTCATAATTAATAGAAATCTGGCAAAATGTTCTAAATTACCTGGTTGTACTGTCAAAATAAACTCTAATAAATTGTGACATGTCGGTAAGAAGTTAACCAGGATTTGTGGCCATTTTGCAGGTGTGAGTGAGTGTGTGTTTATGTGAAGTCCTGCTACATCTTCTCCTTGAATGTTTAGTTTTTCGGTGTCTCTGCTGGTTCATTGTTCAATGTAATTTAAATTGTGATCCCTTGGGGCTGTATTTGATATATTCTAACTATGTGGCTGCTGCTCCGGTAGTTGTTGTTATTGTTATTCTTCTCCTTCCTTGAAGTCTTTATTATTCAAATGAGAGATTTGACTTCGTCCTATGTCATCATTCAACTGTGGCAGCAGCAACAGCAGCAGCAGCCGTAATAACACAAAAGGCCTTATGTTTAAATTACACACATCTCTGTTGACATACACACACTTATACGTATGCATGTGTTGAAATGTGTGTGCATGTGTAAGTGTCATTATAAGCAAATATTTATGTCTTCAATGGCCACAGATCCATCCAACCCTTTTTCCCATGAGTTCAATTAGTGTAAAGTTATAATTTAATAAATCTTAATAAGTCTGTAATTTATATATTTTGAACAAATTCGAATATGCCAATGATGTAGATGTGGATAATCCGAAAATGAAATACTTAGAGCTGTGATGGAATCTTAAATGGCCTTTAGGTTTCTTTGGACGGACATATGTTGTAAATTCTGTCATTGATGACTAGATAGTTAGGTCATTAACATGCCACCGCTTATTAAGTTTGAGAATTTGGTAAATTCGTATATAACACTTATGTAAGTCTTTAATCTACGTATGCTGAGAATGTCCTCCAGGATAAAATCGTTGATTTTTTGATTAATATTTTAAAGGACCTTCGATTTTTTAATAAAGATTTACAATCTGAATTTAAAAATAAGCAGCTAAAAAATCATAGATTTTTCAAGGAATCTTGGGACATGGGCTTCTTGGTTAAAATCATGACTTAATGATTCCTCAACGCCCAAACGAAACGGCCGAAGCAAGAATGTTGAAATTTTGGGTGAGGATCACTCTTGGTCCGAAGGTTCCGATAAGGCAGTTTTTTTATACCCTCCATCATAGTATGGAGAGTGTGTTAAGGTTGTCATTCCGTTTGTAACTCCTCGAAATATACATTTTAGACCCCACAAAGTATATCTATTCTTGATCAGCATAAAATTCTATATCGATTTAGCGGTGTTCGCCCGTCTGCCCGTCTGTGAAAATCACTCTAGCTTCCGAACGAAATGAAGTAGGTTGATAAAATTGTTCACAAATTTATGTTATGTCTGCAGGACTTTTGGTATTGAAAATGGGCCATGTAGGTCCACGTTTTGGTATAGCCCCCATATAATGGTACCTCCTTATTTTTGGTATTTTTGTATTTTAACCGACATTATTCATCGGAATTGTTTATTTGAAGTTCGTAATGGATACTACATCCCATGACAGAAAATTGTCTGTGCAGGTCCACGTCTTTGTATAGCCCCAATATAACGGAACACCCCGATATTCGGTATTTTGATGATTTTAACGACATTATGTACCGGAATTATTTCAAATTTGATATTTGAA